TTAGAAACTGAAGAAAGCTACACAAATAATAACTATAATTATAATTATTCTTCATTACATTTACCCCTATGCCAAGTACTGAATTTAGCTTTTTACATGTTATCTCATTTGACCCATAAAGCAAACTTATGAGATGGGCACTACTCTTATTTCCATCTTGCAGATGGAAACAGAGAGGTTAGGAAACCTGCCAAGGTCACATGGCAAAGAGTGAAAGAGCTAGAATTCAACTCCAAGCAGTCTCACTCCAGAATCGAGGTGCAAGATTGCCAATATTAAATTATACTTATGAAAGAATGAAATGTAATGTAATATAGGGGAAAAATTCTATTATTAATGTAGTCTTCATAACTTTTTTCAACGCTAAGTGTAGCAGAAAGTGGTGATAAAAAAATTAATGAAAATTGAGTTTGTTAGAAATTTTTAAAAAGAGCTATTAATTCTACCAGGTTAAGAAGGTCAGTTGTGTCCTTTTTTGCCTATATATTGAGAAGGTACTGTGCCAGTTGCTGTCCTCAGGGACATAGTGGTAAACAGGACAGATGAGGTCCTTGCCTTCCTGAAGCTGACATAAAAATCGGTCAACAACAGAATTTCAGAGAGTGCTATGTATTACACAGGAGGTAGCGAGGAAATGTGGACTTGTCTTTTGAGACATTTAACCATGAAGGTAAACAGAAGGGGATGGATGGGAAGTCAGGGAAAAGCTGTCTGCTGTCATTTTTTATTCTGGTTTCAAAGATGGGCAATATCAGAGAATGTGTGTGTGTTGACATGAATGGTGCCCTGGAGAGTTGCTGATGCGAGAGAGAGGGCACAAATGCAGGAGTCAAGTCCTTGAGTAAGGATGAGGAGGAATACGGTGGGAGGGGAGCTGGCCTCTGATAGGAAGAAAACAGAAAACATGCGTCCTAAGGAAGGTAGATTTCCAGATTTCATGAGGTGAAAATGAGGGGTATCTTTCTGAAAACGTCTAAACCTTCAGTGAAGTATGAGACCGGCTTATCAGTATGGGGAGGGGTGGTGAGCTGCTCATGAGTTTAAAGAGTGGGGAGAAATTATTAAATAGGCATAGGTAAAGATATCTTATTAGGAATCTGGCAGCTTTCCTAGGCAGTGCTGAGAGCCCACTTCAGATTTTTGGTCACGACTCTGAAGTTCTCCAGTGATATTCAGCCACTCATATGCATTCATGGAAAAGCTATGAAGGATAAAGCAGCTGTAAATAGAAAAAAATTCATGGGTAAAAAATTATTTTTAAAAATATGTATCTATGAGATAAAAACAAGGTCACTGACAATGTCCAATCAAGCTATGGTCTATATAGCTCCATTTGTCTCCATCTTCTCATCACAGACATTCTTGCAAATAATGTATTTGTCATATTTAGTCATGACATATTTAATCACAAAGCTTAAAGATTGTTTCTTTTTGGTCATGAATGGTTCTGTCACTTCCTACGGATTTTTAAAAATGCACCTGCTAGCCTTCATGTTGATTCCAGAGGTGACTGCATTTCACAGCTTGAAGAAACTTTCTCTGGTGCTGATATTTCCAGTGATGGTACCTACCATTCAAAAGTAAAAAATAAAAATTATCACTACTCCCCCCAACCCCCACACCGCAATGTGCACGCTCTTGATCATTCAGCTGTACTCCTAAACCATGATGTTGGCTCAAGACCAAACATTCTGGGAAGCACTCATGTCTGCACAGGTTCAAGGAGAGGACACAAAGACCCCACCTCTTGATGGAGGCTTGTCAACACTATAAAGAATAGCCATATTGGGTGAGATGGAGTGTGTGTTTCTCTGAGTGTGTGTGTCTGTGCACGCATATACCATATAGTCATTTTGGAAAACATTATCTGTTCCATGAACAAAAGGAAAGAAAAAGATGTTTCAAGGAGTCCCATGAAATGTCAGGAACATAAGGGATACAGAGATCCTAAAATCTTCCAAAGTGGGAGGAAAAAGGAAATGGGAATTAGAATGGCATTGGATTTCTCAAAAGCAATACCGAAAGCTAACGGTACAATGCCTTCAAAAGAGGGACACCAATTTTTAATCTAGAATTCAGTGTCCAGCTAAACCACCATTCAAGCATGGTGGTAAAATGAAGACATTTCCAAAAATGCAACTTCTGAATTTAGGAAAGCATTTCAGAATTTGTACCTGCCCTTTCTCAGGAAGCTATTGAAGATTGAGGGAGACACAGGATCCAGGAAATAAAGGATTCAACACAGGAAAAGGGCAAAGGGAATTCCCAATATGATGAGAAAGGGAAGTCCTAGATGTATAATGTATAAAGCTAATACATTATAATAATATTACTTTGTTACTGACTTTAGAATAAACTGCCATTTGAAATGGAAAACAACTGTTGATAGAAAATGCCCAATAGAAAAAAAAATCTACGTTTTATTATCAGACATCGTTGAAGGGATATTGTATCCCAGTTTTGGGTAACCAAGTATCACCATACATGCTATTACCATCACTAACAGAACAGTATTAGTATTTCTAATGAATATAAAGAATATATTTACTAGTAAAACAGCATTTAACGTAATTTAATGTATTTTGATGATATAGAAATTACTTTAGAATTTTTTCTTCAGTCATCATACTACATACAGGTAATGCTAAACTATGGGTTGGAAAAGATTTTGGTTAACAGAATACTGAATAACAAGGCCAGGATGTTTTTGGGTTCCTTTGTTGATTCAAACAATAGCAAAGTCACTCTTGCAAAATTAAAGTTCCACAATATTGCGGTACTATGCAAGCCTATTTCAGTGATAATTCCGGTTATACTACTCTGTTTACAATCTAAGACTTCCCCTTATGGTTTGTTTTAAGGGGATACCTAAAAAAAAATCAGATGCAGGCAGTTTATAAAATTATTGGGGTTGCTTCAATATTAGTGACACTAGTTAAGGACGTTAAGGAAGCCCTTGTTTTTTAATTAACTTACTTTGAGTTAAATTCATTGATATTAAAAATGTATTTAAATTCTACATCATAAAGCCAAAACTTCTCCAAATTGAAAAGTCAACTTTTACTAATTTTAACTGTTACAATAAAAGAATTTGACCATGATAACATAAGGTAAGAATTTTACCAAGAATAACACGATACAACCAATGGAAAATTTTCCCTTCAAATTAAAAGCAAATGTTTTTCACAGAGGGCCTATACATAAATAATGCTGTGGAAGACTGTTTAGTTTAGATTTCATTTTTTACTGAGAACTATCAGGAATTAAAATACATGTGATTAAAAAATAATCTTTAAGAGAACTTTAAAACTGAACCAGTTTAATTATTCATATCATCCACTAAGCTCCTAATTTTTTTTACCACCACTATTTTGAATCAAAATCATAATAAAAATATATTTCGGAGGTATGTTTCTTAAAACCAGCTTTAGCTAATTCCCCATCACTCTGCAAAATTATAAGGGTAAAAAAGAAACTGAAAATGCAACCAACTATCTTCTAAAACATAAAATACGGTTTAAAAAAAAAAGGTCTAAATGAAACAGGAAGGAATAGCTGGTGCTATTACAATTGCTTTTTTTTTTTAATTGGTCCACATCAACTGTAACTCTTGGTAACTTTACCAAGACAACAAAGTCAGGCAGTCAGTCCTACTGACCAAGCCAAAGTCTGTGGGAACCTGCAGAGCTTCTTTTCTCTCCCTGAGAATGAGGACAATGATAAAAGGTGTTCTGTTTTCCAGTAGTCCTGTAAGAGGAGCCATTGAGCTGGGATGCACAACCAGTCAACAGCACACAGGAAAATTCAGATCAAAGCAAGGGCACATGCCAGGGTAATATGAAATAAAACCCTGTGCCAAAGCATTAAGAAAAAAACACAAAAAACAAGGAGGTGGACAGAACCTGCTGGACCACCTTCTTATTAACACAGGGAGGCAGGAAGAAACAAAATCTGCCTGTACTGAGGAGCTGAGAAAACAGTGTCCTAGATATACTGGAGTATTCCTATAGACGTGCATATGAGACATATTATCAATGAACTAAACCCAGAAAGCAGTGTCCTGTATGTACTGGCGTATTCCCAGGTACATATACACAAGTATACTACCATTAATTAAATGCAAAAGCAAAGTGAAGTTCTCGCTATACAGATACATGAAAATGTAGACATACATTTTCAATTAACAAAATCCACTGGTTTTACAGTAAGAAACAACAACAAAAATACTGTTTGAAAGAACATCAGAGATAGAATTGGGTGAAGTGTCTGGTAAGTAATGTCTTTTTTCCTCAGGCCCCTTTTAAATGCTCTCTGAATTATTTAATAGGACACACACACACACACACACACACACACACACACACACACACACGGTCTCCGGAAACAAAGGAGGGTCCTTAATTCTATGGCCTGTGGAAGCACACTGCGCCCCCCACCCACAGATTGGAGGCCACCACCTGACTTTCATTAATGAGTAAGTCGAGGGCAGAGATCGCACCCCAGACCATATCCATATACACAGTGACAAACGGGCACGAGACAAATGCCACAAAGAAAGGGGAGGAGCAGATGGGGACCAGGAAAACAGTGCCACGCCGCGCCCCCCAGGCGCGTTCCCATCGCCAACACCGAGGCAGCCGTCCTCGCCATCCTCGTCCTCGCCTTCCAGCACATCCCGGCCGCCTCCCACGCCCGGGGGCCCTACGCCCCGTACCAGCAAGTAGGGCGTGCGGGGCGTCGCGAACCTTCCTTCTGTGACCTCCCGGTGACAGCCCGCGCAGCCCTTTGTGCGGGACTCACCCTCCAGCCGGGGGCTGACCCTCCTCTGCGTCCCTCCTGGCCTAGGGCCGCTGTCCCACTCTTCCCCGCCCCCCGCTGGAGCGCCCCGAGTGTGTGTGTGCGAGGCTGGCGAGGGCCCGCGGTCTCCTCAGCATCCCGAACCCAGACCTGTCCGGTCACCTAAGCTCCAGCCCAGCGGCGACTCTAGCTCGTTCACTTACTCGGGAGCGCCGGGGACGGCGGCGGCGGGCGTGCAGGACCGTCAGTGCCAGGCGGCGGGCTGCAGGCAGTGAGCGTCTGTCGGGACCAAGCTCCGCTGAGGTGGCGGCGGTGGACTGAGCGCGGCGGCCCCTGGCGAGGGGCGGACCCGGTGGAGGGGGGCGGGGGGGACGGGCGCCGCTCCTCTCATTCATGCAGCGGGGCGGGGTGAGGGACCCGGATGCCCAGGCAGCCCCCGCCCACCTCGCTGAGAACGCAGCTTCAGAATCTCCAGTACGCAGGCGCGATGCTCCCTTGGCCCAGCCTAGCCCCGCCCCACCCGCTGGGGAAGTCCCACAGGCGGAGCTGCTGCGGATAGACCCACTCACTAAATCTGTTTAGGATTTTTGCATGTCCTATAAGCATTTTTAAAAGTGAAACCTTGGAACGCCACCTCCTTCCTAGCATCCAGCCTGCCAGCCCATGGGGGCACAGGAGTGCCCACTAGTTTGATGGAGACAGGGTGCACATTGCTCCCTTCTTCCATCTGTCTCTCCTGCAGCAGGTCCTCTCAGCTGAGTGCTGGCACCTCAGTTATGAATGAGACCCAGAATCTACCCAGATAGTGGAGAGAAGTGTACAGGAAAGAGTGCATTCCTTTGTTTATTTGCATTGACCTTGTCCCTTCAGCCCTCAGTTCCCATTTCACAGGACAGGCAAGAAATTGATCTTGGTTTTGGGGGCTCAACCTTTCCTGGAATTCCAAGGCCTAGGATCTGTTTAATGCATCTCCAACGATCTGGGGGGTTCTTTTTAGCAGGCAGTTTATTCTGCAGAGACACCCTCCTTTTCCCAGACCCTTGGCTTTGCCGGTCCTGGGCCACAGTAATCTTTGGCGATGCCTCAGCCTGCTGCAGGCCTCAGCCACCCCTCTGAGGCTTCTCAGCTGAGTATGTGGACACTACAGCTTAGGACTTACAAAGTGATTGCCCTCCTTTCCCTCAGTCTCCATGTCCCCCTCTGAGGTTTTCCTTTCTTCTATATTCCGGGCTCCCCCACACAAATCATAAACAGCTCAGTGGCTTAGTGTTGAAAAGTAAAAGCCGTCATGGAAAGTGCCCACACGCAAGTTCCTTCTGCTTTGGCAAGCCATAAACCTCCAATGCAAGGGGGAAGTAAAGACAAACATCAGTGTACATCTCAAGAAGTTACCCAATGGTCACAGTCTCCCAAGTGAGAGATGGATGTAGGCATGTGCTAGGTAGAGTGTGGCAAAAGGAAGGGTGTGGGAGACCCATTCTTCCTCTAAAGTGGCCTGTCAACACATATTCCCCTGCTAATCAGGGGGCCTTTTCCCTTCTCTCCTTTCCCTGTTAGCTCTCATTCCAAGCAGGAGGGTCTTCTCAACTCCGATTTGCTGATACCTCTCACTCTGTCTAAATCAGGCCTCCTATTCTCTCTCCAGGGCTATTGCCAAAGTCTCAATCCATGCTCATCCAAATCAACTTTCATGATATGTACACCTGCCCACATTTTTGTCATTTTCTCTTTTCCTGCCCCACTTGGCACTTTCACCCTGATTTTCCAGCCATTTTCAGAGCAGTACCATGGTGTTCCACCCTCACTGCTGGTCTTCCTTCTGTTCTCTTTACTATGAAAGCAACACTTATCTAGGAACACTCAAAAGTCACTTTTTTTTTTAAAAGATTTTTATTGGGGAATTGGGGGGATGGGAACAGTGCTGGGGAATTGGGGAAAGGGGAACAGACAAGTTGCTGTCGTTTTGTTCTTCAGCCTAGTTGTGGAGGACGTTGCTTCACTGGCCCAAGTTGGCACCATCATTGTGCTCTTCTCTGGTGAGGCAGATCAGTCGCCGGCTTCTGGACGGCCGCTCACTGCGGCTGCTGACCGCTCACGCTGGCTGCTGGCCACACACGGTAGCCCATGGCAATGCACTGCCACAGGGACTGCAGCCCACGCCGTCGCCGGCGACTCACGGCAGCCCAGCTCCAGGTTGAGCTGTTGTTCAGCATCTTAGCTGTGGAGGGCAGTGTCACTGGCCCTCATATGTGGGATCCGAACCGGGGCCCTCTGGCATCCCAAGCGAGTTCTTAACCATCGCGCCACTCGGCCGGCCCAAAAGTCACTTTTTTTTAAAAGATTTTTTGTTGGGGAATTTGGGGGAGGGAACAGCGTTGGGGAATCAGGGAAGGGGAACAGAAAAGTTTCAGTCCTTTTGTTCTTCAGTCTAGTTATGGAGGACATCGCTTCACTGGCCCATTGTTGGTATTGTGATCATTGTGCTCTTCCCTGGTGAGGCAGATCGGTCGCCGGCCATTGGACGGCCGCTCACGGTAGCTCACGGTGGCTCACGCCAGCTCACGCCGGCTGCCGGCCACTCACAATAGCTTACGGCAGTCCACTGCAGCCCCACTGCAGCCTACGCCATCACCAGCAACTCATGGCAGCCCAGCTCCAGGTAGAGCTGTTGTTCACCATCTTAGCTGTAGAGGGCGCACTGTCACTGGCCCATGTGGGATCTGATCCGGTGGCACTGCTGCTCAGAGCTCATGCTCCCAAGCCAACTCTTAACCACTTGGCCAGCCCCTTGGCCAACCCCTCAAAAGTCACTTTTTAATGAAATCTTCCTTCCTGTCCCCGCCTTGTTGACAGGCTTTCTTTTGGAATCCTCTGTATCCACTTTTCTTTTAGCACCAGGCATACTTAGGGTTCCTACTTGTTTGCATATTTTTCTTCCCCGCCAGAAGTTGAGCATCTTCAACAGTAGGAACAATGCTTCCTTGAGACCTGGTGCACGGTGGACATACAATGGTTGTTGGGGAGGTGATGTTCCTTGGTGGGTCAGGGAGACTCCAAAGAGGAGAGAAAGGCTGAGCTCCCTTTTCTTTCTCCTCCCTTCTGGTGGCTTCCTTCCCCTGAGCTGTGTTTGGGAAGCTGTTTTGTTTAGAAAGTTTAGCTAGAAATTCACTAGTCCAAATAGGCTGTAAGGTAGAGGGTGGAATGGCTCCAGTTTCATGTTTTTTGTTCTTGTGAAAATAAAGAGAGAGAGAGAGAGGGAGAGAGAGAGAGGGAGAGAGAAAGGAGTAGGGCTTTGTTCAGTTGCTATTTTCAGGGAGACCCATTTTATGAAAATATTGTTGAGTCATCAGCTAGCCCAACTGCCTTTTGGGGTCAGGGAGAAAGTCTCCCTTTGGGACTGGACAGGTAGAACCTAGCCTCGCTGTTTTCACAACATATATGACAGGATCCTGCCCTTCTGTCCCCAGTAGTGGGTTGTTCCTTATCCCCCTTGGGGGAGAATTCAGAGATTTTGGTCTCCTGTATCTCCAGGAGATTCACCAGCTGGTTCATGATCTTATCTGTCTAATGATACAGAAAGTTCTACTCCCCACCTCTCCACTCCCAACTACCTCCCTTCTCTAGGCAAAATGCATATGGGAGTGGGACGTGAGTACATTAATGGAGGTCTGGACAGTTTAGGTGGGTACCCCAAAACACAGGCATCCAGGACTTGAAGCAGTGGCTTTCCCACTTAACATGTTCCCTTGTTCATGTGATGGAAGGAGGGGTAAGAAAGGCTTCACTGTTTAGGACTTCAGAGGATGTCCCTCTTTTTCTCTATCTCCCCTTACCCCTGTCCTTTCCCATCTTCTTCCTATATTATACTTACTTCAAAGCATTTTCATTATCCCAACCCATGTCTCAGAAAACTCTTCCCCTACCCACGTGGTCAGAAGTCCTTCAAGACTCCTCTATCTTCTGGAAAAGAGATGATATCTAATTTTAAATAAAATGTCTGTGACAAATTTTGGAATAGCAGCTTTCTGGATGGTAACTGTAGTGGGAGCAGAGGCTGGTTTTAGTCATCTTGGATCTGGTGCTAAATACAAGTTTTTTTGAATGACTGCCTGACCAATAAAGGTAAAAATCAGTCTTTCAAACAGAAGCTAGAAATCAAAGGTGTCCACAGCCCAACTCCTCTCCCTGTCTTCCTACCTGATGGGGCCTATCTATCTGTTGAGTTGTGGACACTATCCCGGTAAAATATCCCTTGTAGTGGCCAACCATTTGGCTGCATAATTATCTACTACTCTGAATAATTCCTTCAAGGACTGACCATTCAATGCTTTGATCCCTTGGACTGGGTCAGCACAAGAGTCCTGCATTTCTGTAAGAGCTTGAGGTGTGGTCCTATTTCCCTGATCCCCTTCATACAAGATTTCCAAAGAGTCTCCTGCTGGACCTCCTCCTGTTAGAACCCTTCTGATAGTCCTCCCCTCCTCACAGCTTATTGTGCACCTCTAGCTGGGGTGTGGCCCTTCCCATGGAGGGATGGACTTGCTTCTCAATGCAGGATGTATGTTCACAACTGTGAAACAGTGTACACTTGGGGGAGGAAGAATAGGTTCCCATGTGCACAGCAGCTTTGGGTCGAGCTGTGTTTCCTGTCTGAGGCAGGATCTAGGCATTCTGTTTTCCCAGCCACCAACAGTTCACATTGCCTTTCTGGCACACACAGGTCCAATGACCCAGATAGAACTCATAGTCCTGAAAATATAAATGCTCAGGATTCCAAGTAGGAAACTTCTAGCTGAGACTAGCCACAGACAGAGGAAGTGAAGGCACAGTTTCCCAGGGGTGGTGCAGGCTGCTCTTACTTGGTTTTGGATTGGAGGACACCTATCTTAGTGTGCATTCTCCCAAGAGCAGACCCTGAGATAAGGACTGGGATGCAGGTAATTTACTTGGGAGGTGATCTCAGGAAATAGGAGTAAATAAATGGGAAAGCAAGATATGGAAGGGAGAGAAGTCAATACTGAGATGTGTTGATGGGCCTCAGTTACTGCCATGGGAAACTGGGTCTCCATCCTGCTGGGAACTCCCTGAGAAACTTTGTGGGAACACCCTCACATTGACCTCCCAGATGAAGAGGAAGGAGGCTGGAGTATTTATCCACTGATTTCCCATTGCTTATAGATGACCATCCGGGAACTTGCAAGTTACATCTGTGCAGCAAAGCATGCTGCTTAGCTCAGCTCCTCTTGCTATTGGGTACACAGCCTCTACCACTACCATCACCACAATTCCTGCTTCTCCTAAGTTCTCCCGCCCAATTATGCCACTACCTTTTCTCT